TAACATGAATAGTAGGTAAAAATTGATAGAAGGTAAAGAAACGTAAACTGTAGCTATCAGTAAAGGAATCTGAGTTCTTCACTATTCCATTTCTTTAACGATAATGGTTAGGTCATCAACACCACTTGGCTTAGCATCATAAGATAACCGAAATCGTTTAATATCGGTACCTCCACGAAATCGCTAAAAAAAATAGCATAGCATGATGAAAAAGACGCCAAACTTGACAAAAACAACATTTTATCGTCTAAATGCTTATGTTATTATTAAGAGGAAGACAAAAGTTTATTTTAATTATTCTTAAAAAATTTTCCATCTTTTTAGAACATTCTAAATTTTGATTAAAAAAACCTTGTTTTTCTTTGTATCACCGGAACTAGTAAAATAACATAGACGATTTTTAGCACTTTTTTTTCTTTTGTATGACACACATTTTTAGCACGTTTTATTTTTTGTATGACACACATTAATTTGGAAAATCTTGCAAAAATAAAAATAATTGTCGGATGTTAATGAAACTTTCAGAAACTATTCACAGATGATGGAAATTAGTAAAATTTGTTTTTTTATTAAAGTCATGGCAGAATTTTTTTTTATATTTATTACCCACCCATAACTAATTTTATGAAAACTCTAGAAATTCTATTGAATCAAGTTTAGTGATTACAATAGTTAAAAGCTTTGAGGAATTTTTTTAATTGGACTCCCCTACCTGAAAATCAGCTCTGAATTGTAGAATACAAAAGTCAATAAAACAAAGATATTATTTAATTTCAAATGTTTCTATTTGCTTTTAATTGTTTTTATGAATATGGACAATATTTTCTGAAAGCAAAAAACTTTTCACAGAAAAATGAATTTTTAATACAATTATTTGTTATTTCTTTAATTATAATAGATTTTTACATTTAAGTTGTTAAAATATTATAAAATTAGTTACAAGCCGCATAGGGTTTCTTAAGTGTCCTTATGAGATAGATCTTTTTTTAGCGAGTTGCAAATTGTATCGTTTTTATTAATCAGAAGATCCGCAGTAATTAAGAAATCTAATTTTGTGTTTATAATCGGGCTGTAATTATAAAGTACGGAAGACCAACCAGAATACAATTAATTTGCGTTATTTGTGTTAAGCATTGTTCTCCGCTGTTAAGGCCTTTACTTTTGCGAAACATGTGTGGGGAAGTTAATTTGATTTTTCAATTTCAACTGAGAAGGGTACCTACAAGTATCAGTATCATCTTATGAAATTTATATGATCTTATTTTTATATTAATCTCAGTTATGACATTTTTCCATAAATGAAATATCATAATTAATAATAAAATGAAATGAAATACAAATAACACAGTAAAATGTAATAAATGTACATAAAATTATAGTATTTTATGTACGCTTCTGATAAAATTTCATAAGAAAGGTACCTATAAATTAATTAGATACCTTTCTTATGAAATATGAAATTTAATCTCACTCTTAACAGTCTTATTAAGTAAAAAAAATTAGAGCGCTGAAAGTTTTCCTTATTAATAACGAGGTAAGTAGCTGTCTATATCTCTGAGATGAGGTATTGTGATTACTTACATTATTTACATTATTCGTACTGTTAGCCTCATCTTCATTGCCATATTCACAATGTTTCAGCCGTTGTACGCTCTGGCCTTCGTCAGGTGATTGAAGTTTCGAACCGCACCCTTTATTTCGTCCACCGGGATAGATTGTTCTAGTTCCACGTGTCTTGCCTCTTCCGGGTGTCCCTTTAACTCAACTCCCCAAGTTTTGGTTCACCACTGCCGTAGCCAGGTATTGAACTCACAAGTCATTGGGTTTAGTCACTGGATCTAACCAATGCCTTTGTCCTCAAGGACGGGACCCAAAGAGTTGTGATTTCAAAGCTATTTACTACGATGACTATGTATAGAAAGTGTTTTAATCATTAGATCATCCACAGTAAATTTACGCCTAAGTTCTTGGAATATTTCACCTTTTTTGGCAGATCTTCTGTCATCACAACATGGGATATTGAATAACAAAAGGGATGGCAACGTAAAGAAAAAGAAACGAGATGAAATCGGCTAGACTATAAACCCAAGACATATTTAGAACAAAAATTAAATTTAAAATGCTAACGTCCCATCTCATTCACGATCGTCTCATTCATAAACGATCAGCGAATTTAATCAACGTCAAGGCTAGTCAGTACCTAGATGAGTGAGCAGTTAGGAATATCAAGTGCTGTAGACTTTGATGTGCGATTAGTATGGCTTGCGGTCATATCACTTTGAAATATTGATTGTCGTACGACCAGTGAAGTTAATCAAAATCGAGCCTGATTACTTAATAGTTAGGTGATCGTTTGGGAACACCAGTTGCTGTAAGCTTTGATTTGTGAATGCTGTCATGGATAAAGGCTCGGAATTGGAAATCGAAGAGCTTTGTTCCAAATCCAGTCGAGTTCGTTCCATTCACTTACGCGCAAATATCGTTGAATTCACTTCTTCTCTCAAATATGGATTAATTACAAGGACTTGTATTAATAAATCAACATTATCTCTAAAAATCTCTTAAAATCTAAAAATAATTGCTGGCATTAAATAAGCTGCAAAGATTTGAAATGTATTTAAAAAAAAATCAAATCAATCTTAAATTAGACACTTTCTCCTGAAACTATAATCTTATCCATCTCGCTCAATCAGCCGACTTAAGACAATAGAAAACCAACTTCCGGCAATAAGTATATATTGAAAAACTTGCTTAATATATCAGTGTGTCGTAAAGATAACACTTTAAATTTTGTCATTATTCATTGAAGACAGCGCAATGGCAGATACGGATATAAAATAAAAAGATTAAAGGGAAAAAATGAGGGAAAGTTTTCAAAGAATCATAACAACGTCTGAAATGTATTGTCTTCGATAAAAGGACCTCAAGCAGGAAAACGCCATATTGTCGCTTGTTGAAGGACAGGGAACACTGGATATATGACTGGAAATGCGACACTAAAACCCTTCAAACAGAATTTAGATGATTATATTATGAGTAATTGGATGAGGGAACATAACTGGAAGCTGAAGAAATAAAGATGATGCGAAAATAGGACGACAATTTGTCGTAAACGAATGAAGATAAATAATAGAAAGACTTCTCTTGTAGTTAATGTTTGTACGTTAAGCGGAAGTTAATGATTTTTTAAAATATATTTATACGCTGGGTATTACTTCTGGGGATCATCTGTCATTTACTTCCCTAGTCGTCTTTGTTTCAGGTGGGAAATGGCCAAGAAATGAATGACGCCTGGTTTCCTCTGAAATTCATTGTATTTTGCCGAGGATTTTGCCAGAGAATGAAATGAAGAAAGACAGATGAGAAATTGGCGCCATATTATCTGATATTAATTGACAGAAGGATTCATGTCGAAAACGAGACAAAATGCCTTTGAAGATGAGCAATGGCTTCGCTTGAAAACAGTATAAAAGGACAGGCAAGAAGAGATTTCTAAAAAAAAAATTATCTTAAAGATGGAGAAAGCGTTTGGAAAGAGAAATAGGTGATGAGATTTAGTAAGTTATGAGGCTGATAGAGAAGGGGACTAGAGAGTTAAAAACGAAGAAAAGGGAATTTGAAATGGCGAAGGAATACGAAGGGTGTTTGTGGCGTAAAAATACATATTAGTCGATGAGGAAAAGAGCTTTTATTTCACACCACAAATATTTTTCAACATAATCTCTTTCTTTGTCAATATACATCATTCTACGCTTCTTCGTTAACCAAAGCCTCTAAGACGTAAGGGGTTATTGTGCGTGAAATAATATAAGAAAAAGAAAAACGTTATTAATTAGCTGTCTTTATCTCTGAGATAAGGTATTGTGATTATTTACATTATTTACATAATTCGGACTGTTATCCTCATCTTCATTGACATATTCACAATGTTTCGGCCGTTGTACGCTCTGGCCTTCTTCCGGTGATAGGAGTTTCAAATCCCACCCTTTATTTCGTCCAACGGGGTAGATTGTTCTAGTTCCACGTGTCATGCCTCTTCCGGATGTCTCAGTTATTTCCCTTTAACTCAGCTCTCCAAGTTTTAAGTCAGTGAAAATTTTAGATCAAAACTTAACTGTCATGCGACAGACTTAGTGATACACGCCTATATATAAATATTACAAAATAGAAAAAAGCCTCCCTCCTGAAAAACCTAATGAACCCAAAAATATATTGTCCTACCAATTAACTCTATCACATCTAAAATTGGAAAGAATCTATCTAATCTCAACCTAAAATTTGTTACAACTACATCAAAAAAACAAAAAAAAGACTTAATATTAAACAAAACAATAAGCTAAAACTTGAAGAAGTAATTTACTTGATGGCCTGTAATAACTGTCACAACAAATACATAGGAGAAACCTAAAGTAATCTAAATAAAATTATATGAACAGAAAGGAGACATTTTACAAACCAATACATCAAATGCATTAGTTGCAACCGTAACGAGACTGACTACAATTTTGACATAAAAAATCCTACTCTGATCAAAGGAGAAAGTGATTCACTAAGACGTAAATGTCTAGAGAGTTCATTGATTGCAAGATCATCTACAGTAAATTTGCACCCTGGCTCTTACAACATTTCACCATTCCTGGCAGAAGTTCTGTTATCGCAGTGTGAGATATATACGAAGAAAAGTGGAGGAAAGAAGAAAAAGAAATCGGCTAGATTAAAAAAAATTCCCAGCATCCCATTGTTTGTTCGCACGTGTCATCACAACAACATAACAAAATCCTTCGAATGAAGTCCTAAAGGATTAAATGCGTCATAATAAAATATTTTCCACTTTATCATTTTCATTATATATATATATATATATATATATATATATATATATATATATATATATATATATATATTTTTATTAATAAAAATCTTATAAGTATAAGTATATATTTTATTAAAAAAATCTTATAAGTATAAGAAACTATACTCGCTCGGAAAACCTTCGGTGT